GGCAACTGTGCTATAAACAAACCCTGTTTATCACTACTATTTGATAGTCATATGGTAGTTGTAGCCCTATCTAGCGGTCCATGATTTCTCACAATACTGTTGTATCTCTACTGGCAACAAGAATAGGGATTACAAAATCATTTATGCAACAATATACAAACATGAAAAATATGATTTGAACCATGAAACATTATTACAATTTTAATAGTTTAAACTTTTTTCATTTTTGGAATACTCTTATGTGGAATCCGCAGCTATTTTTCCCGAAATTTGGGTAGACTTAGATTTCTTAGAAATATGACATATTGGTATCGGCAACTCTGCGAATGGGAGAAACAAATCGCATTTGTTGAGCGCATCCGTCTAAGCGGTAGACGCCAGCGCCCGTTCTGCCATCTCTCTCTTTTATCACTCTTCTACTTTACCCCGTTGTCCGTCACACTCCGATGCTGCCAGATAAGATACTACAATCGAGTGTCTTTCACGCACCTACATACTTTTGTATATTTCCATCTCTCTTCCTCATCATAATGTATAATAATGATTTTTCCCATACTATACATATCTGAGAAGCTGACCACCTATTTTAGAACATCCTGTATATTATACAGCAGGGGGATAGATTTACAACTCCATTCTGCTGAAGATGGTGGTGGCTGCTCTACCCCCAGAAAACACCAAGACCCGTGTTTAATTAAACCCAAGGCATCTTTCTATTCTATCTTTGCTTTTGGAAAAACATTAATAAAGTTTGGCGCAATCGCGATCAAGCCAAACAGTGGTGAATTGAAAAGACAAACATCAGGAAGGCCTGCAATTAAAGTTTAGTTGAGGAAGCTACCAGGATAAGATGTGCGATAACAGACTTCCTACTTTCGCAGAGCTTCAGCACTTAGTTCTACTAGACGGGATCCTTCATGACAGACAATTATTTTTATGAACCATTGCGACCTACTTCATTTTTCCTAATGATCGAGCGGATTTGTTGACAAATTAGGGTCAAGTAGACTGACTTTCCTTGGTATGCCGATGAGTGAACCACTGGAACAAAATACCTCGTCCGCTCAGGTTTCATTGAACCTCTGGATCTTCTCAGGTTTTTTTAAATTTGTGACGCCACTGGATAAAATCGTGAGATTTGATAAAAAATCAGTAAACCTAACAACCCTCGACTATAGCGGCAGATACTTGCCCTTGGATTGTATCAGATCATCTTGAATCACCTGATATCTCCTGTATTGTCTCGAATCACCGTGGCGTTATATATTCTTCAATTGGATCGTTTCTCATTGAATTGTCTTGCATCTTCTCCCACAGGAATGAAAAATCTCTGACAAGAAGGTTACTAAATATATGGGCAGGGCTATGTTTTCTTCCTGGTGAGGTACTTTTGAAAAAGGTCAAGGACCGGACGTCGAACATGCAATGTTACTTCAGGATCAGTCAGACAAATTCAACATTCACATTCAAGGTTATTATAATACATGATAACGTATAAGTCCATGGTCGATGTCAAAGAAAAGGATTCCCAGCTAAAAAAAAGTTTATTCTGAAATGACTTTTAAGGTGAGGTTCAATACCTCATGATATTGAAAGGAGGGCTGGTTGATGCCCGGACTACAAAACTGTATTTTCATGCCCCTCTTAAATTTTTCAATAAATACAAAAAAACCTACACTATATAGGTACAAAGACTTTAATTTTAATTCTAATAGAAATAGTTTAAAGGTTTAATTAAACTAATAAATTTTTTTCATCGAAAAACTAAATAAATAAAATAAAACAAGAGTAGGTACTAATGAGACACCTGAGATTGCATGTTGTGTACCAGTTGGTTGATTCTAGGTTCTGTTTTTGCCAGAGCTATCATCAGGTAGCTATCGACATCAAGACGATTTCGCTGTTTAGTTTTAATTAAAACGAGAGCAGAAAAGCCTGTCTCACATAAGTAAGTTGAAGAAAAATGAACTAGTATTCGTAAAGCAAGAGGGGCAAGTTTCGAATTAACAGGCAATCCTTTGATTCAAAACTTCTCCAATGTTAAAAGATTGAAGTCACCTTTCATGAAAGAATCAGCCTTCATTTCTAGAAATTCTTCCTGAACGTCTTCTGGTAATTATGACACATCGACAACAAATGAATTCCTTGTCATTTGCCATATTGGTGACATTGAATTGATCAAGTCATCGTTGGTTGTCAGAGCGGTCCGTGGGACCTTAGCTCTTGAGTCACAGTGTCAGTTTGTAAGTCTGTCAGGTCTGGTAACCCAGAAACCAGACAATTTTAAGGAAAAAAGGGGAAGGAAAGGAGAGAAGGAAGAACGAGAGCAAAGGGGAAGAAGAGAATCTTTTAGGATATGCAGCGTTTAGGCATTGTTAAAATCGCTTCACAGATTTTGATATGGTCTAAAAATATTTGATTTTTTCTAAAGATTGTGTAAAAATGCTCCAATTTTGGTTGTTCTAAGTTCACGAGTTAATTTTGATTACAGTGCGAGCGGCGGCCTTTTGTGCTTGCGAACTTGCTCGACTGTGTAGTCCACTGAATCACGCAACAGAGGGTTGCTGTGCGATTCCGCTAGGCTATAGCGCCGCTGCGCCTGTTGCTTAATGTAGTCCTTTAGGTAAGGGACATCGAGGTCTCTATGTAGAGTTTCGTTAGAGACATACCATGGGGCATCAGCAATAGTGCGCAACGTCCTGCTTTGCAGAACCTGCAGACTTCGCATGTGTGTTTTAGCAATAAAACACCAAGCCGCACATGCGTATGTCATTGCTGGTCTTATGACCACCTTATAGAGTCGAATCTTGTTAATCAAACTTAATTTTGACCGTTTACATAATAATGGGTAAAGCTGCCGAAACGTAATTTGGAATTTAGTTTTTAGCGCTTCCATATGGTTCCGCCAAGTCATCCCTTTGTCCAGAATGACACCGAGATACTTAGCGGAGGATTCCCATCGTATACGAAGTCCATTCATTGAAACTTCAGACGGAACGCCGCGACGTCTTTTTGTACAGTAGATTGCCTGCGTTTTCGAATGGTTTATTTTAATTAGCCACCGATCCGCCCAATCTAATACTTCTTCCACCGCACTTTGCAGCCTGTCATGGACTAGGTCACCAGACCACGACTGAGCCACCAATGCAGTATCGTCAGCATAGAGATAGACTTCACAGTTGCTGGGACTAGGGACGTCATGGATGTACAGTGAGTAAAGGATAGGTCCAAGGACCGAACCCTGAGGGACGCCGGCTGTAATCAGCCGTGTTGTCGACAACACATTGTCAATTTTGATCCGAAATTTCCTACCTTCAAGGAAGGATTTCAGTAGTTTTAGAAGCCAAAAAGGGAAGCCCTTTTGGATTAGTTTATACAAGAGGCCCGCGTGCCACACCTTGTCAAATGCTTTTGAGACATCCAAAAGCAAGATGCCAGTACTTTCGTTAAGGGTGAATCCTCTGGTTACACGTTCCACCAGCCTAATCGCCTGTAGCTCCGTACTATGTTCAGACCGAAAACCGAATTGCACGTCAGGAATCACATGGTGATCTGACGAGAAATTCTCAAGGTGACGTAGAATCACCTTTTCAGCGAGCTTAGACGCAGCTGACAGCAGGCTAATGGGACGATAATCCTGGGGAAATATCGAACCCACCTTCTTTGGAATCATTATAACTTCAGCGGTCTTCCACGCGGATGGGAAGTACTGGATCCTGAGCATGGCATTGACTATTGCCACGAGATAAGTTAAGGACTTCCGCGAAAGCAGCTTCAGCGCCTTATTAGTGATTTGATCCTCCCCAGGTGCTTTACGCACTTTAAGGTCTTTAATATGACCTTGAATCTCTGCTGGTGTGCAATGCGGGATCTCAGGAGATACCGCTGATGTGCTAAGCAAATCTTCGGTTGAAGAAGCTTCTGAAGAAGAATCTTCTGATGAAGAAAAATCACCAACGAATGCGCGGCTGTCACTGACGCCGTTGGCCCTAAAATATCTCCTGACAGATCTTACGATGTGTTGCTCCTCGTCGAGGTCATTATCAAGATCATAGTTGGGAGAGAACTGTCTTTCCATGGCATCGGCGAAAACCTCAACCTTCTCCTCTGTCCTGAAGATAATGCCTCCAGGACCGTGAATGTGTGGGATTTGTTCACGGTTTCCGTTTTTGAGCGACTTCGCCACCTTCCAGAGAGGAATGCTTGAGTCAAGCATCCCCGCCAGAAAGTCGTTCCATTGCTCATTGCGGAATTCATGAAGAGCATTTCTTACTTCATGAACAAGATTCGTCGCTCTGCGAATGTCATCAGGATGAATTGAATTGATGTCTCGATAGTATCGGCGAAATTTGTCTTCCAGCGCTGCCAAATGAGTTTTTATGTCAGCTTTTAAATTTGCGTTCTTATTTTCAATTGCTTCGTACAGCCGAGAAAAAGATATAACATTTTCAGAAGGTACTTTTTGGTTCCAAAGTTGAAGCTTGATTTGAACCCCTTAATATAATCATAATTGCTTATTATAGTCTTGTATAAGCCAATCTCCTTTGAAATGTGTCATCTTTGAACATTGACAAGAAATCGTGTTTTTCTTTGAACTCAATAAAAAGAATTACCTCTTCTTTCAATGCATAAAGTATATGGAACAGAAGAACTTTATAGCCAAGTCCAAAGTCTGGCGTAATTTCTGTGGCAATGTTTTGGAAACCAAGGCTTGCCAATGAATAACACAATGTGTACGAACCATTGCCGGATTTTTTTCCTTTAGATTTTTAGGTAAGCCCGATCGTACACCTATCTTTGCAGGTGCACCATCTGTGCGAAGTCCAATAAGTTTCTAACAAACCATTTTTTTCAACAAAATTTGATATTGAATTGAATATATCTTCAGATGTAGTATCTGCTGTCAAAGATTGCGAGTACAAAATCTCTTCTTGAATGATATCTCCGCCGATTTAACGATAAACATATTGACTGTGCACAATTAACGATGTCGGTGAATTCATCGCAACTAATGTCAAAAAATTGTACTCTGTTAATTATTTGTGACTTTGTCTGCTGAAATGTCATCGATTCTACGCTTGACTGTGTTATTTGAAAGATAAATAGACTTCATTTTTTGCACTGCATCTTCTCCTAAAATTACCTGCGTGGCGTTTAGGACACATGGTTTTTATTACTTCTTCACCGATAGTATGAGGTTTCTTTTGCGTTGCTATCATAAAAGCTATTTCAATTGATGCTTTGAGATGCTGCGATACACCTGTGTGATAACTTCCCGATTCATCCAGTCTCATTCGCTTGAGTGATTCTGCTGTAGAGGAAAAAAACTCTTTCGTCTTCAAAACCAGAGTAGGATATTGTTGCTTCAAATGCCTTTCAAGGCGATTGGGCCTCATGCTATCGGTACTTAAAACGTTCATACATATCACACACTGAGGCGATTATAACTCGTCTTTTTCTATGAAGGTAAATCCAAATTTAACGCAATCTCCGGAAAACTTTTTTTGCTGCCTTTTGCACATATAACAATAAAACAAATAAGTAATAAATAAATAAGCAAAATACCTACATGTAATTAGTAATTATATTCCATTATTTTGTCTTAATAACGTAATGTATTCAACAGTATGTTATATTGGCCACCGGGAGATTTATATTTTTGTAGGCAGCTTAACGTTATAATAGTAATTTTAAATACATTTGGAATCAATATTCGGTACTTAAAGTTCGTCGTTTCAAAATTATTTCGCCACGTTGGCGTTGGTTTGATTGTGATGTGGTAAAAATGTCCCAATGGCTGCTCTATGAACGCGTCTCCACTCAATCAAAAATTTAGTAAATCAAATAAAAATGTAACTGAAGTTTGTAAATACACAAACTTATCTTTTAACAGTGAGTCACAATAATTTGACAGACTCAAACAGATTTCTCAACAAAATATGTACATCGAAACGTCAAATTGTTCGCAAGTTTGTGGGAATGAATGTCACAGGTGCTCATCCACATCTGGTAGGTACCTACACTATTGTTTTCTAAGTGATGAATGTTAAGCGGAGCGGGGAGGGGGTGCACGCGGATCTCATGTTGTGACTTGTCGAAACTTGTATAAACTGCGATTTACGACGCCGGGTTTAGAAACATCGGTTGACAGAATAAGTGAATATGATATTTAATTTCTAATTATATGCATGTAAATTAAAGATTACATTGTAATGTTATTTGTTAGTGTTGTTTGTTTATTTTTTTTTGTTTTTTCTTTCTAAAATGCAAACGATTTCCACCCCCCTGGGAGGCGCGCCCCTCTATTTGGCAACTCCTAACTTAGACGGTCTCGGGTCCCTTTTGGTTTTTGTTATTCGCTATGGTTCTCCGAGCTCCCGTCCATTATGCTGCCACGCTTTGAGCCTCCTAGACGAATTCGCCAGGTTTCCGCTTTCCATCCTTACTTTGATAAAATTCGTATATACAGACAGGCCGGTGCGATCGCTCCTTTGTTACTGGGGTATTGAGACTGTAGATCAATCTGCCTGAGGAGGCTTTTTCCAATCCTACTAGCCTCGACCAGTTCAAAAATCGGATTAACAGAAATACAGCCCCGAGCTTCATTCTCGTCTATTGACGATCAGTGGTCTGGTCTATTTATACCAGTATGGAGACGGCATTTGGCCACTGAGTTCCTTTTAACTACAATCTGATCCGAGCCTGCTAAATAAAATCATTAGATGACCGTTATCACTTCCACTCACTTGTTCTCTCTACTCTACTGGATAGAACCACTACTGTACTCGTTGACATCGAATATGTAAAATCGTTTATCACGAAATGATATCTTAGAAGATACTAAATTTATTTTATATCCTATTGTGCTGTTGACAAGTTCTTAAACTTGTAACTTTTGACGGATATTGATTTCAGCGGTGTCTTGGGGGAGCTGCCTTCAGAAACGTGATGTCGCTGCTGTAGCGAACTTTACTGTTGCTAATCTCAGATTTTCTGGTAAGCGCTTTCCTGCATATCATCAAAAATTCTAAGAGCACTTTAGGGAAGCGACATCAGACAGTTTGAAGTTCATGCACGTAACGCCAGACACTTCAAAATTCAAAAGACAAACGTGAAGACCGGCATACAATTAAACATCTCCCTCACGATGCTTACAAGACTTTTCCGCTTCTGGAAGAAGTAGACCAGTGTTGCCGCCTCGATTACTGGCAATATACCAGATGATACAAACCATCATATATTTCTTTCTTGGCCATGTTTACACCGCACTATGCTATGCGTTTACAATAATGAAAAGTAAATGAAAACTGTTACTGCGCCATTTTCGGAAAGATAACGTTCTATGGATAAAGCCCAATTTCACGAACATTAATATTATGGACCAATGGGAAAATACCTTATCAAAATGCAATTTGACGGAAGCTGTCAAAGGTCTCTGAATATCAGTGATTTCTATTAAAATATTGAATAAAATCGTGAAAATTCGACTATATTATAGAAAAGACCACTTTTTGATTCCAACATGATGCTTTTGTACAGAGAAAACAGGACAACTGTCATGTGTTTTGATTTATGTTACATTTGACAATCCGTTATTCCCTCAGCGAACGGGAATGGGAGAAACAATAGGTCGATTTTCTAGCTGTTAAATTTGGCAGCAGGTTTGGTCGTCTGTTAATGCATGGCAATCTCGAATTTGTTAGTTCAATATACTGAGTGTTTACATGTTATCATTATAGCTACACACCCGTTGAATAGTGTGGATTTGTCTGTAGTTTGCAAGAAAATGGAATATGAAATACAGTTCATCCAACTCCTCATCTTCCTTTATATCATAATAGTAATCATTTATTAATTTACGGGTTAATCAATTTCTTCAAAGCAATAAAAACATTGTCTTCTCCATCCTAAAACACAGATAATATCTTTGAGCCATAGAAGCAAAGCGAATCTCATGCTTTCGATTCTCCCATCACTAGTGTGATGAAATGACAATTTGTCCCTCCTTGGATTACTTGAAATAGTGATGTGCTTTCTAGTTCGTTTCATTAAGTTGCGTTCAGTTCTAGGACCTGGTTCGTGAACAAACTACTGTATGCAACAATACCACAAAAATATATGTACAGAAACACAGCTGATATTCCTGTTTGTCAGTCGAGATAACGTAAAAACGATTCAATTCATATGTTTTAACCGTTCCAATGCATTCCACTGATTGCAAATGTATTCGCCCATCACTATCATTGTGAGACACTAACTTCAAATGTCAATTCTTCTTTGGTCTATTCTTTTTCTCCAACGTTACTGTAGTCTATGTTTTGTGGTCACTTGTCTCTTGTTGTTAAGAGCTTGTTGTATTATTTCTGAAAAATAGATTTTCCGTATAAAAAGTGCTCCATCCAAGATATTTCTTGTGCAGAATTACATATTACACTGTCGTGTACAGTTAAATCTGCACTAACCCCCAAATACGTGGTTATTTTGAGTGTACCATGTACCATCACCGATGATGCGACTGATTGTACACTGAAATCTAAACAAAAAACTGCAACTACGATTGAATGTATGAATGTCATTTTGAACAAGTTTCGGACCACTGGTGTAAAAATGTCGTTGAGCAATTGGAATGAAGTGTATGAATGTGTGTATTAGCATCCAGTAGGTGATGTTGAGTTAATATATATTATGGATTACAAAAGTTGAAATAAACATGGAGAAACCTTCAGCTATACTCAAAAGAAATGGATTTTACTCAGCCATCAAGCATTCTTTTTTTTTAATTTTGGCTCAGTTTTATATAATTTCATAATATTTAATAAACTGAAAACATTTCAATGGTAAGCTGTCACTTCATGTTTTACAGTGTTTTGTTTTGAATACTTTGATGCTATTTGCAAATTGACGGAGAGATCTTGAGCTGATTGGGTATATTTGACGGACTGTTTGGTACTCGTACCCTATTGGTGCAGAATAATGGTTTGTTAAATTGAGAAATCGGCCCTAAGTGTCGTATCGTCAGTCTTTCCTACAATTGTGGGTTGCCGTTATAACCTGCTGTGGATCGGATTGATGAGAGGAGATCATTGATATGTTGTAACAGAAACAGTGTTGGAGCCACGACCGATCCCTGGGGAACACCCGTGTTGACACTGCGACAGGAAGGAAGTTAGCCAACCATCTCCTTAGCATCTCTGGGAGACCATAAGATGTATGTTAGCTTAAGAGGGTAGCAAGCCATAGATGACAGAAATATTTCGTATATCAAGAGCAACTGCATGGACCTCACCCTATGATTGGACGAATTTGGCCCACAGTTGTGCGACGTACGCTAGGAGGCCCGCATTCTCTGTTGGTGCCGAAGTCCTGCTTGTTGCTTTTCAAGACAGCATGTCCGATATACTCTCCAGAAGCTCCCGATTTGTGCGCTTATTCACAACCTTACTGATTACCGAATGTAGAACTATAGGTCTGTAGTTGTAAGGGTTGGTTCTGGATCCTATTTTTCGGACGGCCTGGACATGATAAAATTTCACCTCTAGCCTGTACCATATATGAGAGCTGATCTTTGTCACAAAGATAATGCTATATATACTATGATACTTTGCTGTTTGAGTCTGCATCACTAAAATCCTGAGAGCTCATTGTATAAATTTGTATGCACGTCACTACGTATATATAGTAGCCATTTATCGCATTGAATTTGAGGAAATATCTGTCATGCTAAAATCTGCTGTAAATCAAGTGCTAAATACAAATATATTGAAATCTCCTTCCCCTAATCCACCGCTTCAAAACAGTTCTCCCCTTGAATTAGGAAATAACACCAATTTTGTCAACACTGCTTTATTGTTCAATGAGTGGCTCAATCCGTAACAAGGTCACGCAGCATTATCCAATTATAACTTCTGAAATTTGTTCTGTGGTTGCTTCCTTGATGTCTCTCGTTTACAGTGGCTAGTTATTGAAAAGCTCCGGGCGACCTTTCATGCCTGAACTTGTTTGCGCATGGCTCAGTTGATGCCCATGGGAAATCCCACAATGATAAAAATGATGATGCGAACTTCATTTCCCATTTTTCGGCCCTTGCAGCGCTTCGAATCAGTTCAAAGTCATACAAGTGGATCTTGTTAAAACATCGATATCGTAGCTCGTCAAAAATCATGAGCACCTAGAAAGGCCGTAAAGATTGATTGCGTTTTTATACTGTCAGATTCTTTGACAAAAGTTTAGGGTTGCTGACCAATTTGTACGAGTATTAAAAGTTCAGCGTTTCTTCAGTACTGTTCGAGATCGAACAAGGTGGATCAACCAATTATTGACCTATTTTTACTAAATCGAATAAGCGGAATGGTAAAATTAAAAATACTAATTATTTCGTTTGTCTCTGTCTACTTTATGAATCAGGAATCCATGCCGTGCCACGAGGGAATAGATGCTAGTCTGATAAGTGTGCCCACAAAGGCACTGATCTCTCTCTGTCTCTTATAAAAACTGAACTAGCGTACGGAATTTCACATAGC